AATCACCTCTTTCCAACTTCATATTCTCCTCTCATCAAAATCGGTTACATAGTGAGTTCATCTTCCCCTAGAGATGATTATTTTCATCATCTCTGAATGTTGGTGACATTTGCTTCATCCCGAATGTCCCCTCTTCATGATGTTCCTCATGTGTCCAATACTCTGTGACAAGGACAGGCATTGATGCCTGTTTTGATCACCAGTGTACTCCCACTGTTATTAATATTAGGCCCCTTATCAGTCAGTATTTGTTGGATGAACATGTGAGGGAGATTGCTGATTCTCTGTCTGATCTTCTGAGCCAAATTGATACCCTTTACCCCTGGCATCCACCCCATTATACCTCTACATCAAAAATATATTTTGGCATTCAGCTATAATTACTTCTGTGCATTTCAGGGAGGACAGTAGTACCCTCTGAGAAAATACTGGACAGACAGACAGACAGACACACCCACATACACATATCAGTGGTTCCCAATCCATGCTGAACTAGCATTTGCTGTTCAAAATTTCAAGTCTTCTACTTCAAAATATTTTGCAACAATCTAGAGCAGATTATTTTTTTTTCCTAGGTTATAATTAAGCTACACCTTATGGTGTAGCATATGTATGCATATGGTTCTCAGTAAGCTGGAACTTGTATCCTAAGACAAATTGGATTTTTAAGAGGAAAAAAAAAGTGAAAAATGGCTAAATTAATCTTTACAGTTCCATTCAGCTCTGAAGTTCAGGGTTCTGGATTTATGAGTAAAGTTAGTCTCTCTTAGCACATCCATATTTCTCCCAGCACTGTTCTGCTTTGTCCTTCCTGTATGCTCACACAATTTCCACTTGCAAAGGAGCACTGTGTCACATGTTCTATCAGCTGATGACCCAGTCACGTGTCCCACATTTAGTCCACCCTTTTCTTGTTACTTTTATCACTTGCTTTTGTAAAAGTTCATTTTGAGCGCAATTACAGTGTTTTCTTTGGAACTGATGAAACTTCCTTCTTTTTTATTAGGTAGGCAAATTCTCATGATTCCAGAATAAATAGATACAGTTTCAAAGTCAGATAGTTAGGCTAATAAGTCCTGTCACTAATGTAGTGCTGTGCACAGTGCCTTCTATATAGCTGGCACAGACGAATGCTGATCAAGGAACCATTCTCCTCCCACTCCTTAGAAGAGTATATCTTTTTCTTTTTTTTTTTTTCCTTGTTGTTTTTTTCTTTTTTTTGTACAGGGGATCTATATCGGGACCTTGCCCCTCTGAGGCAGACGGCAGAACCACTGATCTAAATGCTAAATCCCCGGCCCATTTTAGAGGAATATATCTTATCTTATGGTCCAAAGAACAGATCTGATGTAAGCTCCTTCCAGAGGAAGAGTTAAAGAGTAGCAGAACTGTCCTTCATGGATTCTTTTTTTTTTTTTTTTTTTTTTTTTCTTGGTAAAATACTTTTC